GGATGTCAGCAGGAGCTTCCCATTTTCTTCATCGTTTCTGTAAAATTTTATGTCGAAACATTGATTTTTCCCTATTGGTATTCTAGATTTTGATTTCAAACTGCACAAATCTATTGATCGTATATGATTTTCTTGTTACAGAATGAGATTGAAAGTAACTTTGCGTTTTATTTATCAGGTTTGCCATCAAGGTACAGGGATTCGGTCAGGGCAATAACACCTGGCTTACCTCTCTTCCTCTACAATTACTCCACGCATCAGCTCTATGGGGTTTTTGAGGTATTTGATTGAATTTCCATTGAATATATTTAATTTTAGTTTTCTGCTGAAGTTTACTGGCTCCTCATAAGCTAGTTTTTTGAATCTGTTGGCAGGCTGCCAGTTTTGGTGGAACGAATATAGATCCATTAGCTTGGGAGGACAAGAAGAAAACTGGAGAATCACGTTTTCCAGCTCAGGTATTTTGAATTTTTCTGGAATAATTCTGTATTGTCAAAGGACTACACACTTTTGTTTTTATATTTTCATTCATTTTGCTTTACGGCTTTACAGATGCCATTTTTGTTCCATTGAAATTCTCTTAGAGAACTTTTTTATTGTTACATCAATACTCCATTTTGTGTTTGTGTTTGATCATAATTACTGTAAAAAAATTTGATTTTTAGTAGAAAGATGCAGAGAACATATAACATCATTACAATTATTCATTAATTGGCATAGGTTCAGTGCATGGGGAATTACAAACATGTCACACATGCCACAGTTCTTTTATATTTACATACTAACACCAAAACTTTCATAATTTGTCTTCCAATTAAACAAATTCAATCACTTCCATCATGTGCTGGTTGGTAAACCATATATTGATATATAATTATAATGATTTAGACTTTCTTCCATATATGTCCTTGAGCACTTTAATAAAGTTTTGATTTTTGGTTTATTGTCTTTTTCTTTAGGTGAGAGTGGTGACAAGGAAACTATGTGTGCCGTTGGAGGAGGATTCATTCCGACCATTTCTTCACCATTATGATGGCCCCAAGTTTCGGCTGGAGCTTAGCATCCCGGAGGTATATATATGACTCTGCTATACAAAAATCAAATAAATAAATTACTGGAAAGGTTGATGGAGGATTTTGTTTTTTTTCTTATTTATTAAAATGTTTACCAATGGCAAAATGACATGCATTCAAATTCAACATTTTATAACCTTTAATGAACTTCAATACATCTCTAACACCTACCTCAATTAGATTTTTTTAGTTATAGCACTTCGCTTGTGCTTGAGATTAGAGTTTTTTTGTGTTCGGTTTGTTTGAATTTTTTTGTTTCAAAATAGGCTTGTGTCAAAATCGTGAATATCATATTCATGTTCAACTCGACTCGAATTCGTTTGTTCATTTTAGCTAGTGTTTGACTCGAATTTCACTCAAACGATTAAAATAAAAATAAAATTTTATATTTTTTTAAATGTAGCCTAAAAAATCAATATAAAAAAGTTTCTTATTTAATTATTTAATTTATTTGAGCCAAATAAATTGAGTGCAATTGAATAAAAGTTTGTTTGCGTTTTTCTCGTTAATAAATTGAGTTAAAAAAAGTTGTTCATATTAATTTGTCAGGTTGTTCACACATAATAGTTTTTTTGACAATATAATGTGTATTTCACTTTTTAGAAGTTAATAGAAGTCATATGTTTTATGTGACATGAAAAAATAGAATATTATAAATATGAAAATTAATTTTAGATATTACATATGTTAATTAAGATTTATTTTTTTTAATAATTTTTCCTTTTTCAGGCTCTGGCACTGCTTGATATCTTTGAAGAGAATAATATGTAGAACTCGAAGAGAACAACGAAATCCAACACATCTCTAGCATATTAGCTTATACAATAACATATATAGAGAAGATGATCGGCTAATGCTCTCATTTTTAATGATGATTTGTATCATAAAGATATTGAAGATGTATTAAGAGGATATAAAGAGTGTCTCTCAAGTTCTTATTTTTATAAGCATTTCTTAAGTTTGATATTGTTTACATTAGGGGGAGAATGTTCTCCTATGATAATTGTAATTGGATAGAACATTATTTAATGGCTCTATCATCTTCATTTGAAATGGGTTGAGCTTAAACAAAATAAAATTTGCTTGCATTTTTTTTATTAAGGTATTTTTATACAGGCCACTTGATTTTTATGGATTTACATATCTAAGGTCTATACTTTCATATTACCTACATAACATTCAAATTTTTAGTATCACTTCAAAATAATCAATATTATTTTTTTTAATATTATATGTATCTATCTGTGAAAAGTTCGGGAAAAGATAGAAAAAGTAAAAGCCTCTGTTTTGCTTTTGAATTGGAAACAGACATGTGTGAGAAATTATAAGAAAAAATATAAAAATATATTTATATTTTAAAAAGGTTGAACAGGTTCTTCGTTTTATGGGTTGAACTGTCGATTTGACTGATTTTGGGCGGTTCAAAGTCAGAAAAGGTTTCTAATATGGTTTGAACTAGACAGGCCATCGATTCACAGTCGAACCAGCCAGTTGACCCGACCCGCAATTACATAGTAATTTAGTTTTCAAAAATATGACAAATAAATTGACCCAATTTATTTTAGCGGCTAGTGTGCATGATGGATATTTTATAGAATTTAGAAATTAATTAATAATTTACACACTAGGAGTGATATCCAAGTATACTTATCGTTTTAAGTAATATAAGATTTTTTTTTAAACCCAAGTATAGATCCCACAGGAATGTGAAGCTCTTTTTATGGACTTATAGAAACTTTACATTAACTTTAGACAAATTTCTAGGAAATATGATAGCAATTTTATGTGTAAAAAGAAGTTACTGATTCCTGCTAATTCTATTTCAAAGCTTAAAAAATACATTATATCTAAACTAGTTTTGCGTGGAAAAGTTTAAATTATGTAGAAGTTCTTTCATCTTGCAAAGAGATCATAATCAGTGTAGAAATCAAATGTCTAAATGAAATGTAGTTTTGTGTCAAATAGAAGCAATTTTATTCTTTACCCTATTCCGTGTGCATAAAGAATATTGGTTAAGCTAAAATTAAATTCCTAAATTCTTGGTTATGTTGGGTAGGTTCTAGCCTGTCAGCTCTAGATTATCTACTATGACCATTATTATGGAATAACCTAGCCTTAAATTTCAAACTCCAGATGTAGAATCATCAATTTAGGCCCATTAATAATTATCTCTCTATCTATTTACACTAACCAATGAGCTACATTCTCACCCACTAGATTAATGTTATTCTTACAGATTGAAGATGTAAATAAAGTACGAAGTAATGAATCATCACAAGTATGGAATAAGAGAAATCTTAAGCAATTTTAATTCTACACATGATTATTTCTTATTGCAAGGAGAAAAAGAAATGAAACTACTCAGACTTCATGAGGATAACATAACAAAGTATGATTTATATTAAAATCCAAATTTACACAAGTAAAACAAAACTCAAACAATACTTATCTGAAACTTCTCCCCAAGCAAATTCTTAAAGTTCCTTTGATGAATTTTTACTCCAATAGTCACATTAAAACACACACTAGAAAGACTCTCACCAACACACTCTCTCACACACTCTCACGCCACACACACACACACACACACCCACGCCTACTACTGCTCTCTTTCTTTAAGCCCCATTTCGACCAATCAATGCTTCCTTTAAATAAAACTCTTAATATCACCAAGAGTTATTTCAAGCACTTCTTTAAAATTTGTCCAAATTCATTGCACAAAAATCAAAACCTTTTCTGGCGCCTAGGCGCCAATCTTTTAGAATCCTGTTTTAACTACATGGGGCCTAGACGCCGGGTCACTTTTTGCTCCTTTGTTATATTTGACCCCGTTTTGCTCTGTTTTTGCTCATTTTGCTCTTAAGCTCCATCTCTTGTGCCTGAAATAAAAAATACACAAAATTTCTTTCATTAAAGAGCAATGTCCATAAACATGAGT